CGGGCCTCCCTCTTCCACTCTTCCTATCTCTCCGTCTCTGCGTGTGTGTCTCTGTGCACTGTGTCTCTTTCGGGCCTCTTTTCGAGTCGTGGCTAGCAGTGGGGTTGGGGGCATGATTGGCGCTCCCTCCATGCCTGGGCCTCTCCCCTCCTGGACCCTGGGACCCGCCCACCTGGGTCTGAGAAATGAGGTCTCCGAGACCTGGCTCACCTGCTGTGTGACCTCAGGCCAGTTCCTTTCCCTCTCTGGGCCTCGTGCTTCTCACCCAGGTCTGGGAACTGGAGTGTGGCCTCCTGAGGACCTCAGAACTCCCGCAACAGTCCAGCACCTCCTAGGCGTCCTCTGATCGGTTCTCTCATTTGAAAAAGGGAACTAATGCACAAAGGGAAAGAGGGTGTGGTCAGAGGTCACACAAGGGCCTTGAGGACCTAGGTTCTCCAGTGAGCGAGCACTTGGGCAGAGATGTATCATGGGGACAGGATGGGAGGAAGAGAGGTGATAAATTAAGACCACAAGGACCCTGCATTGAAGAAGGGCCCAGAAGTAGGAGGCTCAGTCAGCACCACGTGGTAGCCCAGCCTCACCATGCATAGCCACTCAATGCCCTATTGTCGCCGGTATCCAGGCATCTGTCACTGTGACTGGGGCCAGGGAGCGCAGCTGGGGGCCGTGGGGGTCAGACACAGGAAGTTCTAAGAAACAAGTGGCCTCAGGTGTGTTCACTGCAAAACCCCGTACGTCAGATGTATGTGCAATGGTGGAAAAGAGGAAGAGAGAGTGATGAGGCCAAGGACACAGAACGGTTCAGAGAGAGGGCAGGACAGTGGAGAAGAGAGGAAAACAGAGGAAGAAAGAGGCAGCGAGAAACCAAAAGTCTGGGAGACTTACAAGAAGCACTGGAGAGAATGGGAAGTTTCCCTAACCCTCCATCTTTGATCTGCCCTCTTTGCCACCCCCCTCATCTCTGTCTGGGGCCAGTTGCCGAAGTCCCTTTGATGCCCATGTAGCCACCATCCCAGGCTGTGCACTTACTGCAGGCTGGGGCAGGGCGGGTGTGGCCTCCATCAATCTGATCCCCATTATCAGCTCAGCCGGCTCAGCCGCGGAGGAAACGCGACACTGGTCCTGCTAAGCTCTGGCACAGATGGGAGGGAGAAGGGGTGGTGGCCAGATTAGCAGGCTGGGCCTCAAGAACCCGGGTCTCACCCACCCAGTCACCTCTTCACTCCGTTCAAGTTGGGAACACCATGGGAGGGGGTCAACCGGTAACTCTTTCGGCTCTGGGGTCATTGGATCAGGAGTCAGATGTTGACACCATCCCCTCCACCTCTTCCTGTCACCCTGGACAAGTCATAGGTCCCTGTGACTAACCCTCAGTGTCCCCATCTGAGAAATGGAGCAGACCCTTCTTACCGTTCACTGTGGTTGTGGGAGGTCAGTGAAAACTTGGCACATGCTCAGTGGAGTTCAAAAATAGGGATCTAGTGCGGTGGCTCGTGCCTGTAATCCCAGCACTTTGGGAGCCCAAGGTGGGTGGATCACATGAGGTCAGGAGTTTGAGAACAGCCTGGCCAATATGGCAAAACCCCATCTCTACTACAAATACAAAAAGTTAGCTAGGTGTGATGGTACACACCTGTGGTCCCAGCTACCTGACTGAGGCGGGAGAATTGCTTGAACCTGGGAGGCCGAGGTTGCACT